CCATTCTTTTCTTAGTCATGGGAACAGGTTTATTTTAGTTCTGGGGGGAAAGAGAAGGTGTTTTTGTTATTTTGTCTTTTTTTTTTTCTTCTTCTTCTTCTAGAGCTGAGGACCGAACCCAGGGCCTTGCACTTGCTAGGCAAGCGCTCTACCACTGAGCTAAATCTCCAACCCTGAGAAGGTGTTTTTAAGTCAAGGAGAAATTCTGGGCACACCTGTAATCCAGGAAGCCCACAGCGACGTGGATCTCTGTGAGTTTGGGGCCAGCTTGGTCTAGGTAATGAGTTCCAGGCCAACCAAGTACACAGAATAAGACCCCCGTCTTAAAAACAACCGAAAAACCCAGGCGTGGTGGTACAAGCCTTTAATCCCAGAACTGGAGAGGCAGGGACAGGCAGATCTCTGTGAGGTCGGCTTGGTCTACAGAGTGAGCTACAGGACAGCCAGGGCTGCACAGAGAGCCTGTCTTAAAACTGTTATGAGTCTGCTTAAATCCAACAGAACTCAAACACCAGGTCAATGCAGATGACAAAAATGTATTGTAACCATGCCACTACTGATCCGTCAGGGCTGCAGAACAGACTGCTGAGCTGCAACGCAAGCCAGAATGTCACAGAGTATTTAAATAATAAACAAATGTGCCAAGTTATTGTTACATTTTCCAGCAGTCAGGATAGGGGTTGGTGTCTGGGCTCAGGAACATGAACTTAGTTTAACCCTGCCAGCAAGATGGAGAAGTTGTCCTTGAAATGGCTGGACCCAGACAACCCTCTCCTTACAAAAACAAAAAATGGAGGACTGAAAAGGAAACAAAATACAAAACCAAAAACACTAAACAAACAAACAAAAGGGGTGGGAAGTCTTGGATGTGGTTGAAACAGAAGGGAACCACAGTCTCCATATTTCAGTGCTTAGTCCCCAGCTGGCAGAACCGTTTGGCCTTTTGCCGCTGCTCCGGCGCTAGGCCCATCTGCCACCTGCCAGGCTCCCCACCAAGGTCATCAAGGACGCACCCTCTGGACCTGAAGGCACTTCCTTCTATAAGTTGCCTCAGCCATGGTGCTTTGCTAGGAGAGTTGAAAAGTAACCAGGACAAAAGATCTCCGCAGAAAAATGACACAGCTCTTTCGTACCTTGGAATTTGTACGCTAAATCTAGAAGGTGAGGAGAAAAAGCATTGGGGTACGCGGGGTGAATGACTGGCTGGAGGTGGTGGGATTTATCTGTGTCCCTGGCCTTTTAAAGAACCCCCAGTTGCTAGTCAACGGACTCTTTAAGGATTCTTAGCAAGCCGGGAGTGGTGGTGCGGCAGAGGCAGGGTGATGTCTGTGAGTTCCAGGCCAGCCTGGTCTACAAAACGAGTCCAGGACAGCCAGGGCTACATGGAGAAACCCTGTCTCAAACGAAACAAAACAAAGAATTCTTAGGTAGGCCAGGCAGGGTGGCGAATGCCTTTGATCCCAGTACTCTACTCGGGAGGCAGAGGCAGGTGGATCTCTGTGAATTAGAGGCCAGCCTGGTCTATAGAGTTCCAAAACAGCCAAGGCTATACAGAGAAACCATGTCTCAAAACAAAACAAAAAAACCCCAAGCAAAACAAAACAAAATAAATCTTAGCTGTTAAAACTGCTTGACCCTATGACCTTCAGTGCTGGTTGCCTCTTGGATTTCTGGGAACAGAATAGGATATTAAAAGGCCAGTTGAGGGGTCTGGAGAGATGGCTCAGCGGTTAAAAGCACTGGCTGCTCTTCCAAAGGTCCTGAGTTCAATTTCCAGCAACCACATGGTGGCTCACAACCATCTACAATGGGATCTGGTGCCCTCTTCTGAGGCACAGGTAGACATGCAGACAGAACACTGTATATGTAATAAATAAATCTTTAAAAAAAAACATTTGAAAGCTGGGCATGGTGGCACACACCTGTAATCCCAGCACTTGGGAGGCAGAGGCAGGTGAGTCTCTGTGAGTTCGAGGCCAAGAGAGAAACCCTGTCTCTGTCCGAAACAAACAAACAAACAAACAAACAAACAAACAAACAAACCACAAGAAAAACCAACTGATTAAACACAAAAAAGCTGAGGCTGCGGGCGTGGGGCTAGCAGAGTGAGAGGAGAAGGCGGGTGTGCAGAAGATATTTTAGGGGACAGCGGAGCCAGGAGGAGCCTAGCGGAGCTGAGCAGGGAGGCTGGAACGGCTGTTAGTGTTTGGAGCTGCCAGAGCTGGGAACTGGGAGAAGGGGCTGTTTGCTGAACAGCTGTTGGGGAGAAGGGGCTGTTGGGGAGCTGAGGTTGGGAGAAGTGTTTGAAGGGCTGGACTGGAAGCTGGGAGGAGGGCTGGCAGGGAGTTAGGAGGACTGGTTATTGTTCTATAAAAGCTAGCCATTTCACAAATAGGGAAGTGGAAGGTGGGAGGATGAAAGGATGAATGGGCGGGCGTGGAGAATGTCATGGCAAGCCTTTTGGAGGCCTGCAGGACCTGGCGAGCAAAGCGCCAAGGACTTCTACAACTCAAAAAACCCTGATCATCATACACAGTGTTGCCTCACTAGGGACTCCTAGCACATGTGTGCAGTCTCAAGATGGATCCCCCTTCTTGATGGAGGTCTCCTCCTAAGGTGACCTTGCCTCTATCTCCCAGCTCCTTATACTTGCACCAACGTGATCAATGCTTACTGGTGCTTGAGGCCAGCATGGGATGGTCTGATCGGCCTGTCAATCATGTAAAGGCCGTAACATTAGATAATAAAGTTAGATTTGCACCTTTGAGTCTGGTCTCCGGAGCTGGATTCCTGGGATTCTGTGTGGGCTATATCGCCACTCACCCTCTTCCCCCAGTTCCTGATCCCCACTGGTGGGTGAGTGAGCAAGTGGTGCATGAATGGATAAATAGATGGGTGGGTGGGTGGATGGGTGGGTGGATGGATGAGTGGGTGGAAGGATGGATGGATGAATGGATGGATGGATGGATGGATGAATAGATGGATGGGTGGATGGATGGGTGGATGGATGGGTGGGTGGATGGATGGAGGGATGGGTGGATGGATGGGTGGATGGAAGGATGGGTGGATGGATGAGTGGATGGATGAGTGGATGGATGGATGGATGGGTGGGTGGATGGATGGGTGGATGGAGGGATGGGTGGATGGATGGATGGATGGGTGGATGAATGGATGGATGGGTGGATGGAGGGATGGATGGATGGATAGATGGATAAATGAATGGATAAATGGATGGATGGATGAATGGGTGGATGGTCTAGTCCCTGAGTGTACTGCCACAGGAGCTGTCAAAATGACCGCATCTGTGAAAACACAGGCACCTCCTCAGTCTGTTACCACCAAGGGGTACCACTGAAAAAGTTGTCCACCGTGGTCCAGCCTCCCTGAGTAGCTCTGCAGCAATGGTGCCTCGGCCAAAGCCATCTGCAGCTGAGGTCTTCCCATCCTGACACATGGGCCCTATGCAGGGAAAAGGGGGCGAAAAAAGCCACCAGTCCCTAAGCAGGAATACCTACCAATCCCTGAGCCCCCTAAGCTCAGTATTTGAAACCTCACCAATCCTCACTCTGGAAATCTCTGCCCTGAAAAGTTCCACCCCCTAAGGAATCCTATATAAAGCCTGTGTCTGTTCAATTCCCTGCTGCCTTCTGGGAGCAGAGGCAGACAACTTGGGATCTGTCTGTCCACACCCTGGGTCCTCCCAGTAACTCTCTTTTATGAGATTTGCTGCCTGGTATGACTCTCTCACCAGAAGAAGCCTAGAACCAGTGAAGGGAAGAAGAGATGAAGCAAAGGAGTGGAGCCGGGCTGAGGCTCCTGAGCTCAGCTGGGGATATCCTCTTCTGGGAGCTGCAGCGCCTCTGCTGAGCAGCCTTCCTCTCAAAGCTGTGTGCTTCCTGGGCTCCCAAGTGCCAGGAAACCCTTCCACCAGAGCAGAAAGGCCGACAGTGGAGGATGGGTTGATAGGTGCATAAGTGAATGGACGGATGGGAGGGTATGTATGTGTGTATGTGGATGGATGGATGGATGGATGGGTGGATGGGTGGATGGATCGGTGGATGGATGAATGAATGAATGGATGGATGGGTGGATGGGTGGATAGGTGAATGGGTAGGAGGTTAGGTAGGTGAATGGATAGGTGAATGAATGATAGAGTTGATAGATGACTGTTTGGATGGATGGGTAGGCGGGTGAATGTATAGATAGATGAATGGGTGTATGGGTGGCGGGCAGATAAACGGTGGGTGGACCTGAGCCTGCAGCAGCGCTATGAACGCAGTGTAGCATTCAAATCCTCTGAGAACTGCGCCATGATCTTGGGAGTCTGCAGTTTGACGCTGGACAAAGAGGCCTCCACCAAGCACTTATCTGCTCAAGCCGCACCTTACAGAAGAAGAGGGATCTATGCGGTTAATACCTTGTTGCCCACTTCTTTGCAGAGTTGGCCGCTACGTGCTTCCGCCCCTTCTCTCACTCAGCTGTTGCTCTCTTGCACCTGACCCTGGACCGCTCATTGTCAACCCCGTATCACATGACTCCGAGCCTACCTAGTGTGCTGGGAGAGGACGCCCTGGCATTGCTAGGCAACAACCTTAGCTAGGTTCCTACCGCCAGCTGTGGCCTTTGCCACGCCTCCTATGTTAAAGCCACACCCCGCAATGCTCACGTGGACGGAAGACCCCTTCCCTTTTCGAAACAATCCCGCCTTTACGTTGCCGTGGTAACCGCGTCCACGGCTTGCTTCGCCGCGGGGCCGCTCAATCCTTCGCGCGGGCGCGGGGATCCTATCAGCGTCGTGGGAGGGCTCCTTCCGTCTTTCCTCCAGACTACATTTCCCAGGAGTCTTCGCGGCCTAGCCCTTCTCTGGTCTTCTGCCTACTACATTTCCCAGAAAGAATTACGGCAGCCACGGCCCTTGATGTACTGAGTCTTACGCTATTGCTGCTCCCGAAGTCCTTTGCGGCTGATAGCAACTACATTTCCCAGGAGGCCCATCAGCGACATTAAACGGAAGCGGCGGGCGAATTGCTTGTCCTTGCACAGGGAGTGAAGCGAGAGACGACCATGGTGGCTCGAGTGTGGTCGCTAATGAGGTGTGTGGAGAATCGGGTAGGCCCTGAGCCTTTGGCAAAAGTTCCCAACTGCAGGCATCTATTCCTTGGGGTTTAGTGTTCTACCTTTGCGCACTTCCGGTTGTATGTGGCTCTCTCCCCACGGTCTATGGAGGCTTACTGCCAAAGCTAACTGGATCGCCTCTCTCCGAGTTCTCTCCCGGCCAGCCCTTACCACCTACAGCTTCAGTTGACTCTTCTGTGCAATTGGGATGCGTAGGAAATCTTGCCTTTCGCCTCTCTCCTAAGCTTTCATTGAGTAACACGCGGGAAGCTCCTCGGGAGTCCCGGGAAGGTTTTGTGTCTGGGATCCCAAGAGTCCACTGTTTCTCTGTTCTCGGCAGGATTTCGAATGACCCACCGTCTCTTTCTTTAAGACTGGGTTTACCACTAAAAGTCGTGCCACAAAGGCAGTGATCCTTGTTCCCCGGGCTTCCAGCGTGTCACCTGGTAAACTGTCAGGTCCCTGGAGACCCTGCCCCCGCAGCTTCTATCCCTTCCTATCTCCCTGCAGATTCCTCATCAAGGGAAGTGTGGCGGGAGGAGCAGTCTACCTTGTTTATGACCAGGAGCTACTGGGGCCTAGTGACAAGAGCGAGGCTGCCTTAAGGAAGGCGGAAGAGGTAGTGCCACCAGCGATGTACCAGTTCAGCCAGTATGTGTGCCAGCAGACGGGTCTGGAGATGCCACAGGTACCATGGCTGGGAATGAGGGTCGGTTCTGAGTGTCGTTGACACACTCTCCACCCCTGCTTGGTGGAGTTCTGTGTCTCTGGGTTCGGGGACAAGGCTGTGACCTATTCCTACATACCAGCCCCTGTGCTCCTTTCTTCCCAGCTCCCAGCCCCTCCAAAGATTAACTTTATGAACTTGCGTGACTCCTGGAACTCAGGTAGGCCCCTGTGCCCCTCCTTGGGGGATGCCTGGACACCCCAGCCTCTCTAAAGCCCTTTTAAACCTCACCGTTCCTTTCCACTCCTCCTTGTGTGCCTGTATGTCACCTACGGAGCTAAGTAGAAGAGACTGGGTGTCAGCCCATGCCCATGATTTCAGCACTCGGGAGGCTGAGGCAGGAAGACAGTGACATCGAGGCCAGCTGTCCTATAGCCAGGACTACACAGAGAAATCCTGTCTCAAAAACAGGAAAAGAACAGCAAGAAAGAAATCAAAGGATTGTAGTTGTAGCTCAGCGGTAAAGTCCTCTACCGCATGAGTCTGCAGTGTTAGCACTGGGAAGAGCTGAGGCAGAGGAGACTGAGAGTTCGGGGTTGCCCCTGGGCTACATAGTGTGGTGAGAACTGCGTTTAAAAACCTGAAAACAGGGCAGAGGGCAGGGGGGCAGTTTAGACCTGCTCTGAGCGTGTCCACGAGGAAGACCTGGGCCCAGTCCTGCTCCAGTTAGCACTCTCCCGCTCCCAGGGGCTTGGCTGAGCGCAGCTCGGCAGGGTGGGCCTCATCAGCACCCACGCGCTGTCCCTACAGGCATCATCTCAGTCATGGAAGCTCTGTCTGTGGCCCCCTCCAAGGCCCGAGAATACTCCAAGGAGGGCTGGGAGTACGTGAAAGAACACAGCAAGTAACGGATGCGACCTTCCCTGGTGTTATGGGGACGGTCAAGACCAGGATACCGCAGACCTGACCACAGTGGGAACTCCACTCTGAGGGCAGCTTCCAGCATTGCTGGCCCAATAAAGGACTTGGGAATGGTCCCTGACCAGTGTTCTGGTGGGAGCATGTAGAGCGCTTTTGAGGAACCTGCATTAGCCTGGGCTTTGGTGGTGGGTATTCCCCACTCCTGGCAGCCTTTGCTTTGTGGGGGAGGGCTGGCCAGCAGGGACCCCTATGTTCAGATGTAATACTCGGAACCTGGAACTTTTTTAACTTTAAAAAACTGTAGTGTGTCTAAGGTTTTATGTTGCTGTGACAGAGCAGCATGACCGAAAGCAGTCTGGACAGGAAAGGGAACTCTCAGGTCTCCTTCACTGAGGGAGGGGAGGTCAGGGCAGGGACCTGGAGGCAGGACTGAAGCAGAGGCTGTGAAGGTCACGGTAGGCTTGTTCCCATGATTTGCTCAGCCTGCTTTCTCATAGCACCCAGGACCAACTACCTAGAGTGGTACTGTGCCTCCCTCATAAGTGAGGAGAACCGTTGGCAACATGATGAAGCAATTCAGTGTCCCTCTTCCCATATGACTCTAGTTTCTATCACATTGACAAAACCAACACAAAAGCAACCAGCACACTGTGCTTGCACTGTCCAGATATAAGCTGCCAATCTTGGGTGCTGGGATCTAACTCATGTACCCCTAACCATTGAACCATCCTTCCACCCCACAGAAAGGCTCAAGAAGGTACTGTTGGAGGGAACCTGGATTTGGGAGGCCCCAAATAGGGGCTTCATTTGCCAGTGGACCAGTTTCTTTTGACAATATCACTGCCCAGACTGGTCGAAACCATGTAACCATGCGGGACCCCCAACCTTGTCCTCTGAAGGTCCCTTTTCCCAAGAACCCTGCCCCTGCCGCACCAGCTGAGGCCTGAAGAGTCCCCTCTCCCACAATTAGGAACTCAGAAGGCTGGGACTGGCAGCCAGGCCTAGAAAGGCTGGGCCAAGGTGGGAGGACTTGTGTCCACCCTCAGGCTCTGGATCACTCTCCAGGTACAGCTTTTGCCACATGGAGCTCTGCAGCTTGTCAGGTGTCTGCACCCAACAGGACACAAGCCGCCTAGGGAAGGGCCCCGGTTATTTATGCCACAGTCACAGGCTGGCAGACTCGATACGATCTTGTCCTAGGTCCTCTCCTGGCTGCAGAAAGCACCTGGCATTGGGTCACACTGGTGAACCTTAGAACCAGGGGCTGTCCCTGCCAGGGACCCACTCTGGATGCCATTTTCTCCTGTGCTTCGGAAGCCTGAGCACCCTCCTCCTCTGCCCTACCCTCGTCTGTAGCCCTCTCTGGCGTCATGTTCATCAACAACAGAATCACAGGTGTCCTAGTCACACATAGCACTAGTATCACCCCGAGCGTTAGACTCAGTGTGAGACCAAGTTAGCCAAGGCCCCAGGTGCTAAGGCGCAGAATGGACTAGGCTGGCCCCGCCTCTGGTTACGTGTGGAGTGCCATTTCTCCACTTCTCTTTCCTGATGGGAATGAGAAGCCAAACTTGAAGGTCTGAAGTAAAGGGCACATGAACAGAAACAACTTTATTACAAAAAAAAAAAAAAAACAACAACAAAAACAAACAAAAAACAGCAACAAAAACCAAAATGAAAACAAATTCACATCATAACAAGCTACAATATGGCAGCAGATTAAAAAAAAAAAATCCTTTGTACAATGGCGGGAGGGAAGTCCTGATAGGACATGGAGGTCACAGCTGGGTGGCATAGGTGCTCAGTAGCGGCGGGTGAAGCGGGCATCACTGGGTCTGCTGCCCCTGCTCTGTCCTCCGAATCCTCCCTGCATCCCTCCACGTGGGATCACGTGGCCACGTGAGGCTCCACCGGGAGCAAAGCTGCCGCGCCTAGGGAGAAGCAGGGGACTGTTGTCCTCTATTCAGCACTGCAGAGGAACCCTGCCCCTGCTTGGCAGGGTGGCACTCACCCTGACATGCCACCGCGGTTCATCATGTGACCAGGTCCCGAGTGTCCAGACATGTTCCTCTCCCCACCTGCAGGATGGAAAACATGCGCCTAAGCGGACAGTGTGGCAGGCATGTCGTACACAGGCACCACTGGCTTCGGCAAGCCCCACGCACCACACACCCCAACCCTACCCAGGCCTCACCTTGCCACCTCTTGTGCTCACGCTCCATCATGCCTCCGTCAGGGGCACCCTGCCATGCCCGGTCATCTTCAAGTCTCCGACCGTGCTCCCCCCAGTCACGTCTGCCCCTTGGAAAGAGACACCTCTGACCTCTGCTGCCACACCAGGCCCTCAGCAGAGAGTGTAGCTGGGGGGCTCAGGCTCCAACAGGCAAGGCTGACAATCACCCAGAACAAGCTTTAGTGGGGACACAAACCTGGGAGGAGGGGGCAGGCCCCTGCCTTCACTCATTCTTTTGTTTGAGCCATAGCCCCAGCCATCTCGAGAGTCCCGGCCATGGCGTTCAGGTCCTCCGTGGCGCTCAGGGTAATGCTGGATGACAAAGGGGCGAGGTCACCTGGTTCTGCTCCGAATACGGAGCAAGGTGGCCACTCAGTGTCCTCCCTCCTTCATTAAGGGTCAGGCTGATGAGGCTCCCCAAGAGCCTCCGCCTGTGCATGGCATCCTCGCTTCAAGAGTGAGACCAACGGCAGAAGAGTGAACATACTGACACTCCCCTCTTCCACATACACAGCAACTGCTGTGGTGCGAGGCCTTACTCCACAGGTCGTCCTAGATGCAGCTCAAGTCCTGGCTTATCAAGGCCAAGGTGGGAGAGATCTGGGATGCAGAGTAAAGCCCAGATCCCCTAGCGTCTTGTGGGAACCCTGGAACTCTGGGCCAGCTCTAGCTCTGCCTTCCTAACCCTCACGTCAGACACTGCCACTTGCCCTCCTTTGCAGAGGAACAACTGCACGTGCAAACTGTCAGACAAGTATCTGTGTAGAAGGCGGCGACTGAGGAATGAGTGCCCAAGGACCACAGACAAACCCTAGTGGCAACCTGGTGGCTGGACACCAAGGGCATAGGGTGGTAAAGGAGATGGTAGTGAGGGTCTGTGCAATGAAAGCTTGATGCAGTGGGAAAGCAACTGTGCAGACGGATGTGAAGGGCCTCTCAGGTCAATCCTCACCAGGAGTGCACGTAATGCTACAAACCTTGCGGGCCTAATGAGGCCCCTGAGCGTGCCACAGCAGGCACCTTCCTCCTGGGTGGAGTGTGGGTGAGAGGTGGCCAGCACCACGGCCACAGTTCAAAGGTGTAAGAGCAGCTGCGTACTGCTGGGAGCACTAAGCGGAACCACCCTTCCCTCCCGTGAGCCCTGGCCACCCCACAGCTGAAGTAGCGCCCTGTGCTCACCTGTCCTTCTCTGTCTCCCATCATTGACCGTGAACCTTCTCTCCTAAAAAAGGTGGTTTCAGTGAGACCCAGGTGGGGAGGGGGGGCTCGCATGCACACAGCCCTCCTCAACATGGCCAAGGGCCCACAAAGGGGCTCACCTATCCACGGAGTGGTTTGGGTAGCGACCTCGGTCTCTGTGGTCAAAGTCGTGGAAGCGATCCTGGCGGCCAAAGTCTGAGTGGTAGCGGTCATCCAGGGCGGCCCGCTTAGCTTCTGGCCAGTAGGCATCATCACGCCTGTGAGGGGGTGAGACAGAGACATGGTATCAGCACCCAGGAGGCACCAAGAGCTGGGAACAAAGCCTGCGTGGCTCCAAGTCCCAACTGACAAGAGCTCCCCTTGTGGAAGGTTTCATAAACCCTTGGGACAAACATTCCCACCTATGCCTCAGCCCACTGTGGTGCTTAGCGTCCCTGTCTTTGACAGGCCTTCCACTCTGGGCTGACACAGCATCTTCTCACATGCTGTTGGATGCAGGAGGCCCTGACTTAGGTCAGTGAGAGACAGACACACATGGCCTGCAACCAGAGCCCTGCCATCCCTGAGCACAGATCTATGTAGTCTGGAGCCTGTATCTCTAACTGCTCACCGGCCATCTACATCGTAGGGCCTGCGCACAGCAGGCCGGCGCTCCTGTTCGTAGCGCAGTTCCTGCTGACGCCGAAGCTCCTCTCGCTCTCGGTGGATACGCTCCTGCTCACGCCTCCGCTCCTGCTCCACGTGCATGCGCTCCCGCTCCAGCCGCTCCCGCTCCATGCGTTCCCGCTCCAGCCGATGGCGGTGGAAAGCCAAGCGCTCTCGGGCAATCTCTAGCCGCTCTCGCTCCTCCCGCTCCCACTGGGCCTGCAGGCGCTGCTCCCGCTCACTGCGTTCCCGCTCCCTGTGAGAACAGACCCAGGTGAGGAGGACCAAAGAGGCAGAAGCCTCGCTGCAAGGGGTTGGGGGCAAGCTGGGGACAGCAAGGTCAAAAGCCGGAACAGGTTAAAAACAAAGACAACACTCCATGGAGGGTGGGTCCTCAGTGCTACAGCGGACACCTCCTGTCTGCCCCTCCTTCCATCCTTTTCCAAAGCAGGAATGGCATGAGTGCCCTGAGAGCTTGGCCTAACTGACAGCCAAGCTCACAGCAGCCAGCACCCCTTCCCCAGCATGCTGAACCCAGAGTGAGGTTTGGAGACTGTCTGCCGTGGCGCCCACTTTCAACACACACTCCCCAGAGCAAAAGTCACATTAGAAACTGTCTTTCAGCCAGGGTGTAGTGGCACACACCTTTATTTTTAATACCAGCACTTGGGAGGCAGAGGCTGGTGGATCTCTGTGAGTTCAAGGCCAGCCTGGTCTACAAAAGCTAGTTCCAGGACAGCCAGGACTGTTACAGAGAGAAACCCTGTCTTGTAAAAAACCAAAAACCAAAATAAAAACATAAAACCAAAAAGCCTCTTGACAGCCTCACGGCACCAGTGCTGTGTCCAGCTACCCAAAGTAATTTTTCCCTGATCCTTTGTGGGTGAGTGAGGTCCTTGAAGTGCTCTCTGAATATCCTCACTGTCCTGTGCCCCTGCTGTAACTTTCTATGGTCTGAGAAGGGTGAAAATACTCCCCGTGGCCACCTCAGCCAAGGCCCTCGAAGCCCCGCCCACTCAGTGACACTGGCGCACTCACCTCCGCGACTCCGAGTCTCTAGACTTTCGAGACTCTTTAACCTTGTCAAAGGACACAACAGATCGCTTCTCCCGGCTGGCCGACTTTCGGTCCTGACTTTTAGAGGCCTGGTTCAGCAAACAGAAAAAAAGAGTTAAAGCAGGAGGGATAGAGGCAAAATGCACACACAGGGACAGCCACTGCCTGGAGAAGATACTCACAAGAAGAACCAACCCAACACAAATGAAATGGACTAAAATTGGTCTTTCTTCCCATCCCCTTGAGGCAGGGTCTCAGCGGTTAACCCTGGATGGACCACGCGGTCCTTCTGGCTCAGCCTCCTGAATGCTACGCCAACACGAACAAGCCCCGGGTGGGCTGAGTCAGAGCCCTTTTCATCTACACTGAAACTTTCTGGCTGTGTGTCTCGCTTAGCCCTGGCTGGCCTGTGTTAATTCCACCTGCCCTTTACTCCATGGTCCCTGTGATCCTCTCTGTGCACAGGTGTGATGGCCTCTGCTGAGACCTGGCCAGAAATCTTGGATGACAGTCTATCTATAGTCTGCTTTCGTCACTCAGCAGTGAGCCGTGCTGGGCTTCCAGAACCCAAGTCCTTGGTTGCTAAAAACACATGCCAACCCTAGCCTGCTGCCTTCCGCAGCCTCCTGTGGCTCCAAGGACCCTGGTGCTGTGTGCAGCCTGTGGTCTTCACGAGGCTTGGCCCAAGTGGGGAGGCCCTGGGGATGCCAGACCCGTCTACTACGGTGCTCAGGCTCTTGTGAGTTCAGGATCTACCACAGTCTGCAGCTGTCCCAACAGTGGGCTGCCAAGAGGCAGGGACTGGAGGTGGCACAGAGAAGCCATCAGAGCAGCAGCAGGTAGGCTGCTCTAGAAGCCATGCCATCTCTCTACATTCTAAAAGGCAGCAAGCACCCCTCAAAGGCAGCTGTCCAGGGATCCCAGGGCATCAAGCCTTTGGCAGGTGCTGACACTCACTCTCTCTTTGGACCCTGACGTCTTCACACTGATAACAGGCACACCTTTGGACTTGTCCATCACCACAGTGCGCTCAGTGCCACGGCTTCCTGTAAGCAGAGGGAAGAAGGGATGAATTCAGACAGTCACTTGAGCCAGCACCTGACGGGACTTGGCTGTCACCACCTACCTGACTTGGTGGTCCTTGAGCGCTCTGAAGGCCCGGGCTTCTGCTCATCTGCGTCCTTGCTCTTCTCTGCGTTTCCACCATCTCCCTTTTTGGCATCATCTTTTCTGTCAGCTTTCTCGTCCCTCTTAAGGTTGGCTGACCTAGGACCAAGCGACCACAAGCTTCAGAGCAAGCCTCAGCAGGCAACAGCTACCCAGGTCAAGGGGATGGAGGAGGTACGCTGAGGGGAAGGGCGTTTATGTATGTTGGTGGCCGGTGATGACAGCTCTGCTGATCTATAGGAATACCTGTCACCGGCGCTGGTCTTCTCCTTCTTACTGTCCCCATCTCTCCTGTCAGGCACTCTTTTGCCAGTGGGCTCACTTTTGGCCTGCAAGAGAGTCAAAAGCTAGTGCCATCATGCACTGGCGTGGCGGCACTGCCAAGCACCACCAACTGCAGCACAAGACCACTTACCTTTTCCACTGAGATCATCTTGCCATGCAGCTCAGTCTTGTGCAAATGGCTAATGCACTTTGTAGCCTCTTCAGCTGTGGACATAGTAACAAAGCCGTAACAGCGAGCTCCGGGACTCCGGGCATTTGTCACAACCTTAGCACCCACCACCTGGAAGAAAACAGACCACTTTAGTGAAGACAGAGCTGCAGGCACAGACCCAAAAGCCACAGTGTAGGGCAGGGGCTTCTGACTCCCCTCAGCAGCTGGCACTGGAAAGCAGTGCAGCCATCCAATGGAAGGGCTACCTTGCTCGAGGTTCTCAAGGGGACTGGGCAGGTGCTATGCAAGGCTCTGCCTGTGCTCCTCTAACAAGGTTTAAACAGCATATTGGAGCAAGTCACAGCAGAGGACTGAATCATGGCACAGTCACACAGCTAGACAAGCAGGCAAACGCAGATACAGTAACACAAATTAATGACATGAGAGGCAGTGCGAGTCCTCTGCCAGCACCGCATTCACTGCTCATGTGGAACCCTGGCTCTGACAGTGAGCTCCAGGGTGCCCCAGACACAGATGCTGCGATGCTCTCTCTCTTGGGCAGTGGCGGCTTACCTTCCCATATCTGCTAAAAAGGTTCTTGAGATCCGTGGCTCTGGTCGTAGATGAAAGACCACTAACCCAGAAATTCCTACCACAGCTGCTGCGACCTGTGCAAAGGAAAATTCCAGTCAGAACCTCAACAGCCAGTGCTCAGCCAACCCCAACACTTTGGTGACAAGTGCCTAGGACCCAATGACACATCAAGGCCCAGGAAACCCTTCCATTATCAATGTTGGCCTAGCCACAGGGCAGTGGCATGCACATATGACACTGAAAATGGATCTCAGGACCTTGCAGCAGTCACGAGTTATGAACAGCTGACCCACTCCAGTCCAAGATGGCTTCTGCCCATGGAGGAGCCAGGGCAAGGTTCTGATGTCTTTGCTGCCACCTTTCTCCAGGCCCATGTTCTGCCTCCCTCCACAGACCCTGCATGTCAGAAGTGTGGGCCTGGGTCTGTCATTTTCCAGTCTGCAAACTTGGTTTGTTTTTTTGAGACAGAGCCTTGCTAGGTAGCTCAGGCTGGCCTAGAACTTGCTACCCTCCTCCTGCCTCTGTCTCCAAGGCTGGGAGGAAGGGCCTGGGTCCCCAGGGCCTGCTCAGCAAGGGACTTGCCGCAGTACCTGACAACTCAATCATACTCAGAGAACATGTCAGCTCAGGACCAAAGACTGTGAACATACTCAGGGCCCACAGAATTAAAGATGGTTAGGGTTGTGCATGTGTGCGTAGGTAGGGAAACAGCAGCCACGATGAACTTGAGACCCACCATACTCCAGGAAGCTGGTGTCACCTCAAGGACCTACCCTTCTCCTCTCGGGAAAGCCTTTTTGTTTCCGAGTCATCTTCGACAGAACTAGAGACAAGAAACAGTGTTACTCAAGGGGCTGCAGCAGGGAACAAACCCAGAGCCCTAAGGACCCGCCAAAGCTGCATACCTACCCGGCACTTAACTCTCAAAAAGGACACCCCGACAAACATGTTTTGGAAATCTGACCTAACATTAAGATTTCATACCCACAGGAGTTAATTAAGTCTCTGCCGGGCTAAAAATAATTAAGAAGAATTAAAAAGCAAAGAACTGTGGCAGGTTGAGGGGGGGAAAAGATCATAGAACCAGTGTAAAATAAACAAGAAATGAAACTGCCTGAAGGAGCTAGCTGGGCAGCATGGCTGCCGTCTGCAGGCTCTAAACAGCTCATGTGTGTCGCTAGTAACAATGAAAGGAGATAGCGTCTGGTCTAGGACTGAGAAGCAACAAACCTCATTTTCTGATCAGCGCCCTCACTGGCTGAGGACTCTTTAGGAGCCGCAGAGACGTCATTACAAGCGTCAAAAGCAAACTTCTTCACGTCGTCTTTGCTATCTTGGGGTTCGGGGCTCGGGGCTGCCGTGGGCGCTTGCGCCAGCTCCTGGCTGGCGGCCTCCGAGAGCTGGGCAGCCGTGCTACTCTGCTCAACTGGCTCCTCTAGCCCTACAGGCTCGCGGTCCATCACGGTGCCTCCTCCCGGCGCCTCCGCCGGCTCCCTTTTCACTACTGCTAACGGGGCGTCTGCCTCGCTCCACTGACACCGAGTGCTTGGAGACTCAGACTCGCTGCTTCGGGCCAAAGCTAAATCTCCCTCCTCCTCCTGCTCCTCTTCCTGCTCTTCT